CCACACCCACACCCACACCCACACCCACACCCACACCCACATCCACACCCACACCCAATGTTTTCAGAGAGGAAGATCCAAGGAGCCCCGACAGTAGCCGATGGTTGTCCGATGGTTGCATTCGACCGGAACCTCTAGAATCCGTTCCCGGTGTAATCCGCTTCGGAATCCTGTTTCAAAGATTCCGACACAATCCAGTTCGGATCCGATCGTATCTACAGGCGGGATTGAACCACCTGGGAGGTTGCTTTCGGCATTTATGTGTCGTTATTTTGCTGCTTTTCTAGACTATTTATTATATTCGCAAAAAGACATTAAAAAGAGCATAGACATTTACACAAAAGTAGATTTTTAAATCAATCCGAATTGTTAGTTTGTCAAATAATCGACCATAGTTATCCAATCAGGAAACATTTGTGGATGTTTAGCACTTACAAAAAATACTTTGTTTACGTTCTTCAATCCAAGTGCTTGTATTTCACGATGAACTTGTTCACAAAATACATGTCGTTCCTTGTCATCTACTTCGTCGAATTTGTTGACTATAATATCATAATCTAATATAAGTTCATCGAAAAGCTTCATTATAGAGGAGTTCTCCTTTACTGTGTATTGAATGAGGATGAGGCGTCGTGCTAATGCTTTGAAGAATGATACGTATTCCATACTTATGTAAACGACTTCATCATTTTTACCAGGAAAATCCCAAATAGTAAATTGCGTACCTGGATACGGTCGTATTTCTGTTGTTGTCTCACCACGACCTGTTGCAGCCACCTTTTTTCCCATAAGACTATTGACTAGAGTTGACTTGCCAGTTGATGTTATGCCGAAAACAGAAATATTTTTGCCTTTCATTTCCATAGGCTTAACTTGTTGTGCTAATTTTATTAGCGCTGTCTTCTGTTCGTTGCCTTGTTCGTCAAGATCCTTAAGCGACTTGATTCTCTTTTGTTTGATATCAGAAATAAGTTCCAGATATTGTTCGAGTAATTCTGAACTTTGTTTACGATATTGATGCAACTCTTCACGCAATCTTTCATATTCTCGTTCCCCATGCCCTAGAGTAAAACAATTTTTAGTATGTGTTGAAAATTATATCCTTTAAAAAGTCCGAAACTGAATGCAAAACACAAATAAAAAAATTTCCACACTCTGCTTGAGACAAGTTGAGCTTGGACAATCAATTCAGTTCGACGCCTTTCTTTCTTTTTACAAAAGTCTAATTGAATTTTGTTCCAGAAACTAATAACTTCGGTAGCGTTTAGTTTTTCTACGGTTTTAACAGAAACAGTTACGCACGAATGCATGACATTGGTTTCATATGACTTTGAAAGAAGCTCGATAATTAGTCAAATTCAAACATGAAAAAACTATGATATTATTCGTAGGAAATACTCGACGTCGTTGAAAAGTAAAATGCGAATATCTCCATTACTGTTTTGCTCCGCGTCTAGGTTGTCTTTTTTTCTCGCTATATAAGGAGAAACATCATATATATTATTCTACTTCATTAGAGCTTTTCATGTAAAAAAATAATAAAGCTTTGATGCATATATTCTCTATAAGTAATAAATTATGATCTTGAGCAGCTGGTATTTCACTTATTGTAAGTGAACGAAAACTTCAATTTAATTTTTGCACTTATATTAAAGTCGAACTTTTCTTTAACTTGTTCAAATTTTGAGCTTAGTTTTTTGAAAAGAAAATAATCTCTGTATGCTATATGATCTGAGCATTCTTGTTCCCAGAAGATTTGAAACTGAAAAATTTTACTTGTATAGATCTCCAATTTTATTTTTACGAAATTTTAAGAATAAAATTTTCCTAGTTCACTGTACGTAGTAGCCACGCTTAGCAAACTTTAATTCGTTCAGTCGTGTTTAAACAAAAATATTAATTGATTATGAAAAATCAGGAATCGGTTACTTAATTTTATCATTAGCAATATTTTTTCTATTAATGAACTCTTAACTGCAACCTTAAAGGGAAAATAAAAATGACCGATATAATGCAGAAGTCATTTATTAATTTTTGACAAAGCTTTGATGCATCGTTTACATGACTAATATGATATCTATGCAAACTGAACGAGAAATAGTCTTTATTCATTCAAAATAAGTGAGCTACTGAGGAATAAATTATTCAAAATGTACATAATACAGAATAAATGAAAATTTAGTTCAGATTAAAATAGCATAAAGCTTAATAGTTCAACTTTATACTAGCTTAATTGAAACAATTTTTTAAAAAACGGACTGGCATGATTTTTGCACTAAATCAATTTAGATTTGTTTTTTTCACCTGGTCTCAGCTTAATTCTATAGTGTGATATACGTAAACGTCGATCACTTACGTGCTCCCTCACGTGCGATACTTTGCAATCCTTGAACGAGTTGCACTGCTACAGGAATCCATGGTAAATATGCAGCCATCTTTACGTTAATAGATTAGGTATGTTAATGACGGAATATAGAAATCACCTATAAGAGAAAATACAACAGTTAAGAATACTTCTCTTTGCTGTTTGTTAAAGTTTTTCTTTTAACAAATGAGAATATTTAAAAACACCAGTACCTTTTATACAACTATATGACGTCATTGGAATTTTCCAGGTAGGATCCTTCCGAACAATGGAACTTTTATTTCTTTCATTTTTTTCTATCGAGTGACTAAGAATGTATGGGATTTTTCTTGTAATGTCTATCGTAAACATTGTATTAAAAAAATTAAGAAACACACAGAACAGGGAAAAGTGCTTCCTCTGTTTACATTCAGCCATAAAGTTACAAACGGTGCGCGGAACAGATTTGCTTTCTACGTCTTTGTGTGTCATATTTTGTATTGATACATTCTTGATAAGATCTATTCGGTCTTAGAACTCCTCATGTATTCATTTAACCAATCAAAGTCAAAGAAAAAGAATTGAAGATTATAGCAGCGTTATTTTTTGACGGAGAGACAGTAAGAAAACTGCATTATGGTGGAACTTTGGCGTTCAGAAAAATTTATTGTTATAGAATAAATACTTATTACTTTCATATAAAAGGTCATTTTTTGAAATCAGTAAAAAATCATTAAAATTTCGTCTTAAGGAACCATACAATCCTAACATTTCTCATTCATGACGTAAAATAGGATTGCTCAATCAGTTTCATAGAGAAAAGAATAATTACAACATTATATTAATTGTATTGTTATATATGAAAGTTCTAGAAATAAATTCTTGCGAAGAAGAGTAGTAAATAATGATCAACACTTGCACCATGTAACACTTTAGTCCTGCTTACGATTAGCAACCATTGAATCCACCAGATCCACTTACTATTACTGAATTAAAATGTCAAAGTATATGTTTTTTCATTTACGCATATATGCGAATATTTACTTTCTTAAAACTTGCTAGAAGCAGTTAATTGTAATAGTACGCATGCATTTCAACAAAACATTATCGAATAAAATTTCTATTGGCTTTGTATTATTTTCTGTTTTTAAACTTTCTACTCAATAAATAAGGATTTGAGTGTAGATGTTAATAAATACCCTTAGTTGCTCCCACACTCACATCCACACCCTTTAGTCTAATCATACAAAGATCCTGCCAAGAAACTTGATAACATTTTGGAAGAATCGCAGTCAAATCTTGAAAGATGTGATCAGAAATCTTGTTTCTTTTTCATTTTGAAAGATTGAAATCCTGACAGGATCACACAATTTCGTGGCTACACACTTCTTTCAGGATTTAGTCGTTTTTTCAAAAAAAAAGTCGAATCCTTACAAGATCCTGATCATATCTGTCAAGGGTCTGGCGCTGAAGTATTAAAGATTTTCCATAGAGTAGCGATTCTTCATAGCTGTAATAAATTAAACTAAAAAACCATATATTTATTTTCACTATGTAGAAAATTCGTTAACCTTCGAGAATAACATATAAATATTGAAACTTACTAATACATGACACGATTAGTCAGTACCTTTCGAAAGATTCTGTAGAATTTCTTAAAAATTTCTTTGTTAAGTTTGGCTGACTTCGAAAATTAATCAGAAATTTTCCTAAACAACATTTTCATATAATTCAGTAGTTACCGAACTGGGTAGAAATCTTTTTCCAAGGACGTGAATATGAAATATTTATCTAAGATGAATTATTAACAAGCTGCCGTCATTCTTGTCAAGAAAGTTCTCTACAAATATTGACTACGATGTGATTGTTTGAGATGCGGCAGTGGGTTTTTTCCTACTCGTCATCAAAATATCACTAGATAAACACACAGCGAAAATGTAGATGACTAAGCCGTGACACTTTCTCATGGTTTATGTCTTAATTGATACACTTCCGAGACAAGAATGAAGAACAATGCAACGATTGTTGTTTCTCTCTTTTTCTTATGCCGCCTAATATAAATTCTTTTAAGAAAAAAAAATAATAGACAATATTATAGTCATTTCCTGTGAGAACGAAGCATGAATAGAAAGATTTGGATTTTTCCCAATTTTTGCTTGTTTTAGAATTTTCCAATCAGAAAGTATTCTGATATAAATCCAATTTTTGATCTGAACGTGCATCACAAGTCTATTAAACGATGCCCACCTGGCAAGATTATTCTTGGACAATCATTCCTTTCGTTATATTCGTTGGATATATTTTGAATAAGGTTATATTCGGTAGAAGTAAGCAACCAATGATTTTGCTCAATACATAAATAATCAAAGATCTATGATGTGTTTCTTGTAACTGTTACGATCGTATTGTTCCCATACAATCGTAAGACGGAGAAGAGATACCCTTTTTAGTAAAGTGGTTAATACGTCTGCTGGGTAAGCAGGAGGTGCATGGTTCGATTCTATGCGAAGGGGGATTCTTTTTCTCCGTTCTGTCGTCATTCGAAGAGAAGAGATATAAAGGTTACTTAAAATATTAAGTAAATATTGCATATGTAATTGCACAGATTATTTGGAGAAATAATCGATCCTATAACAGACTTCTATTGTCGAGCTTCTTTGTATATAGTGGAGTAAATAAACAATTTCTTTTAATGTTTAGACAATAAACCAAGTAGAAATCAACAATTAAATAATTCTATACAAGCGAATATTCGTGAAGAACAAAGTCACCTAAGATTACTCAATAATGATGAAACAATTCGGAGCCCAATTAACAATAGCGGAAACACTCATTTATCAGGCAAAATTAACATTTTTATTTTTTTTAGTGAATTTATTTGTTTTCAAGAACTTTCGAGGTTAAGGCCTGATTGAAAATAAATCGCTTATCGGTTAATAATATGGTAAAAAGAGAGGAGAACTGTCTCTTAGATAACAATCAAATTCAATATTTTATCTACGATATCGATAACAAGATCATATATGTCTGTATTTCGAAAGAGTTTTCGTGAAGCCGGAGTATATCAGGTCTCTTAGGATTCTTAACTCTTTAATCATGAGACTTTGAAATAGTTAGTATGAAATACATTACTTAAAATGAGTATGTAGTTTTACTCTTCATAGAAAAATTTCTGCAAATTACATCATTGCATGATATTAGTAGAGGTAGTCAGTTACAGATAATCATAGATGTAATAAAAAGTACATATGATCTAAACAAAGTCGACAGTTATAGGACGTTGAATAAATCCCTAGACAATGAAAAATATGAGAATCTGAATATCAATGATATGGACGCAAATTTTGTACAGTTGATATATATCATATATCGAAAGTTGAATATCCTTCGGCATGAAGATGCCGACTTCGTGTAAGACAAAAAGTAGATCATGTGCAAGTCTCAAAGTTTTCTTCAGAATGCGTCTGAGTTGAATTCAGGTTCAAAATTTTTGGACTCAATGAACTGTATACGTTGACCAGCATATATTACAAGAAATAGGAAGAGCTATTGAAACCTTCGCATTCTTCTGACGACCTCTTTCAGTGATGTAATAGCTAGCTTATTCGACAGACTTCTTCAGAACTATACTTTAACTTTTAGGAAACAATGATCAAGCATTAGACGAAAACATAGCGTTACGCAGAGAAGTGTTACAGTATCAAGAAAAGAATGCCAAATTATTGGCTAAGTTTCAAAAATTTTCCGAAGAGATGCACGCAAGGAAGATTGACTCATTTGAGGCTCTTATCGAACAAGATAAGAAAGCAGCCAAGATTCTAATCGAACTAGCACAAAACGTTGAGCCTGTTAAAATAGAAGGCAGAAATATTGCTATTTTTGGTTTAACATCGACTGGCAAGTCAACTCTAGTCAATAGTCTTATGGGAAAAAAGGTGGCTGCAACAGGTCGTGGTGAAACAACAACAGAAATACAAGCATATCCACGTGAACAATTTACTATTTGGGATGTTCCTGGTCGAAATGATGAAACATTTCATATGACTATGGAATATATTAGTATATCATTCTTCAAAGGATTGACAATACGTTTAATTACAATTCAATGCACAGTAAAAGAAAGTTCCAGTACAATGAAGTTTTTGGATGAACTTGGATTAGATTATGATATAATTGTTAATAAATTCGATACTGTAGATGAAGATGAACGAGATATATTTCGTGAGCAAATTCATCGTGAAATACGAGAACTTGGATTGAAGAATGTAAACAAAGTATTCTTTGTAAGTGCTAAACATCAACAAATGTTTCCTGATTGGATAACTATGGTCGATTATTTGACAAATGCACAATGAATTGCTCATAAGAGTTATTAGGCACAAAGTGTTTTATAAAATCATACTTGTTTTTGTAATATGTTTTGGAAAATAAACTAGACAATTATATGTACAACATTGATATGGAGTTTTTTCCTTCTTCAGAGGGGTTACCGGAACTTCGCCAAATAAGATTTTCGCCAATAAGACATTCGCCACTGGTGAAAGTCCAGTGACATGTTGGCAAAAGTTCACTGTACTTTCGCCAGATGTCACAAAACAATGTTAACCTAAGATATATATGAAGCCGCGTCTTAATTCAGTTGGCGAAACGCCAGACGAAGTGTTGGCGAAAGTACACAGAACTCTCGCCAACTGGTGAAATTCCCGCGTCCCCATTGGCGAAAGTAAAGTGGACTTTCGCCAATCGCGAAAGTGATATTTGGCGAAAGTCTTATTGGTGAAGATCCGAAATCCCCTTCAGAGAGATACATTAGGTAAATGTGAGGGTGCGGGTGTGGGTGTGGGTGTGGGTGTGGGTGTGGGTGG